AGTTAGATTTATATTAATAAAGTTTTTAGAATTTATAATTTTTATATGATATTGTAATTACTACAAATTAAATATGTCGATGTATCAGTATTTTGGCCATTTATATTATAGATATTTTATGATCCATGTTTGATATGAATAGAAATTGCTTTTACATTATATTTTATAAAATATTTATTGAATTACTAAATTATGAAAAGTTAGTATTATTTAACCGTAATTCACTCTCCACAACAGAAGCAGGATCAAAATCCATATTACTAATTCTTCGCATTGTTGTGAATGTTTCCTTAACATTACCTTGTCCACCAAAAATAATTTCAGACAAATCAACAATTGATGCAATTTCAAGTTTTTTACTATTAGATGGTTGCAAAGGATTTTTAACTTGTTCTAATACTACATCATTATTTCTTAAGATCGTGTATATTGTTTTATCTAATGCACTATTCCGTAAATCACCTTCTGATAATTCTTTTTTATAAAATAAAAGTTCTTGTTTTAAATTAGAAATATAGTAAGACTGAACTTGTGCCATGCTTTCAATACATGCAGGTGATAATCGCGATCTGTAAGTTCTATACAACTATCTTAAAATAGAAAAGTTGCGTTCACAACCTGCTTGTGAGAGTGTTATAGCAAAAAAAATTTTTGCTAATCATTGAAGATGCTTATGATGATCTTTAATTACACCTCACCACAAACTAGGTGAGTTAGATGAAGTATCATAACCAAAATCAAAAGGATATTCTTGATTCTTATATTTAATTAGTTGAGTAACTAATTGTCTATATGCGGTTTTATCATTATAAATGCTTTTATAAAAATTTACAGCAATTTCACAGATTTGCCAAAATATACCTTGACATAATCCTATGTCTAAATATTTAAAAAAAAAATTAGAATTTAAAAAATATATATATTTAAAATATATATATCAATATATATTTATATATATATACGTATAATATTGATATATATATATGCGTATGTATAATATCTAAAGTCGTATCGATATACTGGTACATATAGTTTTTAATATATACATAGCAGGCTTATTATTAAGGTATAATATTAAGTACTATATTTTAATAATAAATATGTATATACATACTATATTTAGCATATCAATATGCTAACAATAAGTCTTTTATATATGGATTGTTTTTTTAATATAAAAATAAAACCAGTTTTAGATTTAGTACCTCGATAATCAGGATGAAGGAAGTATGCAAGCAAATATGGATCAATATCAAATTCTGCATAATGTCGATTAAATATGCTAATAGCTGATTCACAAAAAATATTATTTACAGGAATTCTATTAATGGCAGCAGCCAACTTTACTATTCTGATAAAACAATCGGCAAGATTTGCAGTACGTGATTCTAAGCAATGTATCATTTCTTTAATGGGTTGAACTATAGAAGCAATTCGACGACAGCCAGTATAAAATGTATCATCATCATCATTTAACAATAAAATAATATTTTGTTTACTAATCACATCATGATTATTTTCTAGAATCTAAAAAAAATAATTTTAAATATTAAAATCTAATTTAAAAAATTAAGTATATATGCATATATAATATACCTTGTCAAAAACAGGTTTTAATCTTATAATTAACGATGTGGTTCTAAAAACAAAAGCCCATCTGGTTTCAACATACGTCTCTAAACCACCACCACTTAACTCCATATTTTTTATACCTTCATGAAGAAGTCGACATGTTCTATGTGATTTTTTAAAAAATAGAACAACTTGGTTGGCCTTTTTTAAAATTTGATCGACAGATTTAACTTTTACAAAATCACTAGCAATAAGATTTAATATATATGCAATACATCTTATATTCCAGATATGTGAATAATTGTGTGTGATAACTTCACGAGCAACTCGGATATTACTGCCATTATCAGTTACACAAGCAACGAATTTATTAGAGCCGATTGTATCTACAATATCTGAGATTTTTGATGCAAGAAATTCTCAAGTTTGTGCCATATCTGAAAAATCTAAAATAGAATATAAATATTCTTTTCTATCAGGCATACAAACTATAAAATTATATAATGAATCATTAGTAGGACTTGACCACCCATCAAGTGCTACATATTAAAATTAATATATAAGCTTATATATAAATATTTATTTATAATAAATTAAAAAAATTATTTTTCAATTTATTTACCTAATGTTAGATTTTCTTCTTTTTCAAGTATATTATCAATTTTTACTTTTACACGTGCAGCTTCTTCATCAAGTACATGTTCCACTAAGATAATTCTTCTAGGAGGGTTATATCCTGGTTCAAGTAACATAAGAAGATTTCGAAAAAATAGATTATCAATTATAGCAAATGTAATTCCACAGCAAACAAAGGTTTTAATTAATGTTTTATTAATTTCGTTGTATTTCTTATTTAATGTAGATCTGGAAATTTTAGTGTTAAATTTTTTTGATGAGATGGAGGATATGCTTTCATTATCACTAGTTTCAATATCTGTTTTATCATTTCGCCTTGCTACTTGAACTAACCAATTATGTCTTATTTCTTCAGGAACTTCGCCTTTACAGTATAGTGCTAGATGAGCTTCCATATTTGAAAGCTTTCCACATCTCCAACGTCCCTGAGTACAGTATCGATATTTTGCTCCATAATGGCCTTTGCCATCTGATTCACCTAAATCAAAATCATCCCAAATAGCAGATTTTGGGCGTCCACCTTGATTTACTATGATTTTTTGTAAGACTTTTTTTTTCTTTTTTTCGTTTTTTAGTAGTAGTCTCATATTGAGATGTTTCAGATAATTCTGCGGGTGAGTCCTGATCTATTTCAAAGCTTTTTTTTTAATTGAGCAGTTATAAAATGCAAGAAAAAAGTGAATTTAACCATTATATATACGTATACCCATAGTAGTTGTGATTCTTTGTTTCTTAAAAGCAATTCAACCCCGAGAAATAAATGATAAAATTATAAATTTATTAAAATTTTTAAAATTAAATGAAATTAAATAATTTATTTACTTAATAATCGCATTCCAAAATTTTTTTTTACATATAAAGAAAAGAATCATTTCTCTATTCTAAGATAAAATTGCACAATCGCTCTATTTACAATAAAAATGCTCATTCCTCTATTCTAAGATAAAAATTATACAATCGCTCTATTTTACAATAAAAATATATCATTGCCCTATTCCAAGATAAAAATTAATTATACAATCGCTCTATTTCACGATAAAAATATATCATTGCCCTATTCCAAGATAAAAATTGCTATTTCATAATCAAAATATATTGCTATTTTATTCTATGATAAATACACAAAAATCATTTAAAAAAAAAGTCAATAACTAGAACAGCCATAATTGTAATATTTTTGGATCTCGATATAGATAAAAAAAAAAATAAACTATTAATAGTTAAACTTCGTTTATTTAAAGCTTTAAATCAAAATTTCATTCTATTTAAACCTACCTACCAACATAAAGGAACCAATTTAGAACCCAAAGA